CTGCATCAACTCTTAATTCTCACACTTGTGAAGTAAGTGCACCACAAGGTGTGTTTTACAGATGAGAAAACTAAGGTTAATAGATGACAAAACCCAGATTCAAATTCAAAGTAAAATATTTTGAGTCCCAGATCTAGTCCTATATTTATAAGTAATTATATGTAAATACATAACATGCATTTGTATATATATGTATTTTTATATAAATGTTTATATATAAAATATTTAGTAACTAGTGTCTATTTCCAGTCACCAGCTGCATTAGCCCTTACCAAGAAAGTCAGCCTGTCCTTTGAAGCCAGACTTTGACTTCTCTGTCCTCTGTGGCATCTTATTCCATCAGAAGTCTGTTTCATCTGCATTGAAAATCTGTTCTCTAGTGTAGTCACCTTCATCAGTGATCTTAGCTAGATTGTAGATAACCTATGTGCAGTTTCTCCATCAGCACTGGCTGCTTTATCTTGCATACACACACACACACACACACACACACACACACACACCCCTCAAAGCCTTAATTTATAGACATGAATAGCTTTTGTTATGAGTAGTGAGTTTTTAAATTTTTAATCTTTTAACTTTTCTTAATCTTTCACCTACCCGTCAAAGAAAGAAAAAGTCAGCTGTGCAAACAGACAAGTAAGTGTGATATATAAAGGAGTCGCCAGGAGCTGTTAATCCAAGATAAATAGGATAAATGTGGGATAACATTTATTTTGCACATTGGCCAAAACTAGTCTTGAATTTCATTGACCCACCTGTGCTCTCTTGTTCCACTACAGTCAGCATTGCTGCATAACTACCCATTAAAACCCATGATATTTAAAAAACAAAGAATACAGGCACTTGCTATATGACAAATGTTTGCAAGTTGTAAGATTAATTATTGTAATAGCAGGAGTCAGCAGAATGTCCCATAATTTTCAGCCCAAATGCCTTCAGTTGATTTCTCATTCATACAAATTTAATTTTCTTATCTTCTCCAAAGAAGATTTTTAAACACTTGAATGTCATCCTTGATAGGGTGAATCCTTGATTCACCTTGGTGTTTGCTTCATTAACTGCTTTTAGTAAGGTTAGTTTTATACTGTTGTTTTCTTTCCCTCTGTGTTCTGTCAAACCCTTTTATAAAAATTCTTCAGATGTACAGTAGTTGAATATTTTGGGACTGTCTCTGCTCTATGTTTTTTATTTTTTATTTTTCCCTAAAGACACAGACATTTCAAAGTATTTGGGGAAAAAAGGCATACCTTAAAGATTTTTTGAGCTCAAGTCCAGACCACTGCAATGAATGACTTCTTTGTTTTCCCAGTGCATATAAAAGTTATGTTTACATGATACTATGCAGTAGCATTATGTCTGTAAAAACTATGTGCCTATCTTAAAAATATTGCTAAAAAATGCTTAACAGTCATCTGAGCTTTCAGTGAATTGTAATCTTTTTGCTGGTGGAGGATCTTGCCTTGATGTTGCTAGCTGTTGACTGATCAGGGTGGTGGTTGCTAAAGGTTGAGTAGTTGTAAATCTGTGAAGTTTGCCACATCAGTTGATCCTTCCTTTCACAAAAGATCTCTCTGTAGCATGTGATGCTGTTTGAAAGCATTTTGCCCAGAGTAGAACTTTTTTCAGAATTGGAGTCAATCCTTTCAAAACTTGCTGTTGCTTTATCAACTAATTTATGGAATATTCTAAATCCTTTGCTGTCATTTCAACAATGTTCAAAGCCTCCTCACCACGAACTGTTTCCATCTCAAGAAACCACTTTGCTTATCCAGAAGGAGCAACTCCTCATCTGCTCAAGTTTTATCATGAGACTGCAGCAATTCAGTCACATATTCAGGCTCCACTTCTAATTCTTGTTCTCTTATCGTTTCCACCACATCTGCAATTACTTCCTCTACTGAACTCTTGAACCCCTCAAAGTCATCCATGAAGACTGGAATCAACTTCTTCCAAACTCCTATTGATGTTGATATTTTTACCTGCTCCTATGAATCTCAAATGTTGTCAATGGCATCTAGAATGGTGAATCCTTTCCAGTAGGTTTTCAATTTGTTTTGCTGAGATCCACCAGAGGAATTACTATCTCTGGCAACTATAGCCTTACAAAACTTATTTCTTAAATAATAGGACTTGCAAGTAGAGTGACTCCGTGATCCATGGACTGTAGAATGGATGTTGAATTAGCAGGCATTAAAGCAACATTAATCTTTTTATATATTCCATCAGAGCTCTTGGATGACTGGGTACATTGTCAATGAACAATATTTTGAAAGGAATCTTTTTTTTCTGAGCAGTAGGCTTCAACAGTGGGCTTAAAATTTTCAGCAAACCGTATTATGAACAAATATGATGTCATCCAAGCTTCTGTTTTATTTGTAGATCACAGGCAGAGTAGATTTAGCATAATTCTTAGGGGCCCTAGGATTTTCAGAGTGGTAAATGAACATTGACATCAACTAAGTCACCAGCTGCGTTAGCCCATACCAAGAAAGTCAACCTGTCCTTTGAAGCTTTGAAGCCAGACACTGACTTCCTTTAGCGTGAAAGTCCTATGTGGCATCTTATTCATTAGAGGGCTGTTTCATCTGCATTGAAAGCCTGTTAGTCACCTTCGTCAGTGATTTTAGCTAAATGGTAGATAACTTGTGTGCAGTTTCTTTATCAGCACTGGCTGCTTTACCTTGCACTTCTATGTTACGGAGATAGCTTCTTTCTTTAAACCTCATCAACCAACCTCTGCTAGCTTCAGACTTCTCTTCTGCAGGTTCCTCATCTTTCTCAGCCTTTATAGAATTGAAGACAGTTAAGGCCTTGCTCTGCATTAGGCTTTGGCTTATGGGGATGTTGTAGCTGGTCTGGGCTTCTATCTAGACCACAAAATCTTTCTCCATATCAGTAATAAAGCTGTTTTGCTCTCTTATTCGTATATTCACTGTAGTAGCATTTTAATTTCCTTTAGGAACATTACTTTGCATTTAAAACTTGGCTTTTTGATGCAAGAGTCTTAACTTTTGGCCTATCCGAGCTTTTGATAATCTTTTCTCACTAGGCTTACTCATTTCTAGCTTTTAATATAAAGCCAGAGATATGCAACTCTTCCCTTTCACTTGATCACCTAGAGGCCATGATAGGGTTCTTAACTGGTATAATTTCCATACTGTTGTGTCTTAGGGATTAGGGAGGCTTAAAGAGAAGAAGTGAGATGGGGGAATGGCCAGTTGGTGGAGTAGTCAGAACACATGTAATATTTATCAATGAAGTTCGCCGTCTTATGCAGACACTGTTCGTGGTGCTCCAAAACATTTACAAGAGTGATAATGAAGATTGCTGATCACAGAGCACCATAGCAGGTGGAATAGGAACAAAAAATTTTGAAATATTATGAGAATTACCAAACTATGACACAGAGACACAAAGTGAACACAAGCTGTTGGAAAAAATGGCTCTGATAGACTTGTCCAAGCAGAGTTGCCACAGGCTTTCAATTTGTTAAAAAAGGATCTGTGAAGTGCGGTAAAGCTAAGCACGATAAAACAAAGTATGCTGGCATATTAGAAACCTTTGGTTCTATAGCAACATGTTTGTCATACATAGACGCATACATGTGTACATATGCGGTTTTTCATTGCTTCCAAATTACTTCCAAGTTATTTAGACTCCCTCGTATGTCAGTGTAGACCCTTTGCAGTTTGGCTTTTACCTGCACTTTCAACCCTTATCATCTTCAGAAACCTTCAAAAATAACTTTCTTTGTAGCTCTGATGATTCACCCCCGCTACCTCCAGGCAATACACCTCTTCTCTTTGCATGGAATGAGTTCCCTCCTATTTGCCCAACTTTTGAGTGTGTGTAAGAGTGTGTGTGTGTGTGTGTGTGTGTGTGTGTATGATTCTGTCTATATTAATTTGGTCCTCGGGCGTTTTGTCTTAATTTGAGATTCCCACAGTATCTGAGACACTTCCTGGCACATAGTAGGCACCAAATAAACATGTGGTTTTATATGAGTGCCAAGTACCTTTTCTTTAGGAAGTTGATTTTCTCTGATAATTGCCTTTAGTAAAAATATTTAAATTGCTTCTTAAATTCTAAACTACATTGTTTTTATTCACACGAAAAATAAATCTTGCCATATTTTTTCTAGAGTGCCACTTTAAAATGTATCAGATTAAAAACCATCAGCATCTCAGCATTTTTCACATTTGTACATGTATACATGCATGTGCAGACACACACAGACACACTTATCAGCAAGGTTGTTTGCCTTCACTTTTTCTCTGAGTAATAATGAACTGAAGGTCTTAGAAACAGAATTTTATGACATGTAAACAGCATTCATAATTCCTCCAAGAGAATGCCAGTATATTTGTATCAAACAAAAAGAGCAGGAGTTATGGATGACTCAGTGTATATTCAGCCAAACAAAGAAATCTTCGTTGATTTTATTCCTACTGGAGATATCTCAGTATTGAACACCATTAATAGTGTTGGCCTCAAAACAGCTCTTCACTAGGCCTCTCTTCTTCTTTCAGGACTACTTCCTTTGATTTCATTTCCAGACCATTTCTGGAATGAAGTAGTTGCACTCTGGAATAAGCTACAGGTTTTCACAGCCTCTCTCAAAATGTGGCACCAAGAAGCAAGCACACTATTCACAATATTACTCATCTAAATCACTTTAGAATTCAGTGGAATGTTTGCCTTCCTAGTGCTGGGTGAGATGACTTTTGCTTGTCTCATGTTAATTGCATTCATCTTGAGCTTACAGTCAGCAAACACCCTCTACCTGAATTATTTTCTCATATAAACTGATTTTTAAGTGAAGCCTCAGGAATCCTATATGGTATAGTTAATTGCAGTCCTCTTGGTAGCATTTAACAAACTAATTTACACACTTTTTATTTTATTAGTAGTCTTTTTTAAAACTAGACTATTGTTTATCTTTGTGAATACTTAAGTAAAGTATTTTCTGTTTGTTTATTTCTTTTTAATTTTTGTAGTACTGGAGAAAATGAAACTGGGAGTGACGCATCAAGATGCTTGGCTCAATAAGAAAACCACGTTAGGCGCAACCTATGTATATTGGAGACTTCAGAGTAACCAGCAAGGAAGAGAAAACTTAATCGTCAGGTTATCATATTTTCCAGATATTACATGGTACCTGAATTCTACTTCCTTGGATGTCATTGCTTAGATACAGTCTTGAAGGGTTTGTTGTGAAATATTGTATATATTTTTTCAAATGTATACCTTGTTAATAAATTAAGAAATGAGAAATATTCTTATTTATTTACATGTTATGAGAGTTCTGGAGGAAGTAATATGTTGAAATAGCAAAACAGTTTAGTTTTTGAGTTTAAAATGTTATGTTTTCCTCTTATATCTTCATATCAGGACAGCAGTAACTTGAATTTAGATTGTCACAGTTTACAAGTTTTTGTTTGTTCCTTCCTTCCTCTCTCTTCTCCCACTCACTGTTGTTTGTTGTTTTTTCCTAATTTACATGTTTAAAGTTCTACTTAAAAGTTTTCTTCAAGTTTTACATGTTATGGCTCATTCTTTTGCAGTTCAAGAATTGCTTATATTTTTAAAAGATATTCATTTTCTCTTATACATAATTGATTTTTTGTAAACTACAGTTCATAGTTCTTTTAGCTTGTAAGTATGAATATAGTAGAATATGAAAATGTGGCTATTTAGATAACTAGCCAAAAGGTCGTCTGACCACCAGTTTTAGTATTGAGCGTAAGGTATTTTTATAGATTCATGTAAGGCAATGTAAATTGTCTTTCTACAATAAAATTTTTTGATGCAAATTTAGATTTCAGAAACTTTTTGATGGTATAAAGGAACTGAGGAACAAAAGGCTTTTTGAAATAGCTCACCTAGACCTGTTAATGTAATATATTCTTTCTGAGTTAACCAAATTAATTTTTTGTTTTTTAAGACTAGATCTAATCCCTCTAGCTTTTTTGCTGGAACTTTGGGGAAAAAGAACAAATACAAATATACAAATGATATGAACAATATAGTAATAATCTTTTGCAACTTAATATGTTACATAGTCATATGACTTGGTCTTGGAAGACAAAGAATTGTTTTGGTGCTGAATAAATATTAAAAATCAAGTGACAGAGAAAATGAAGGTAAAATTGTGGCACAGTTTCAGAGAGCGCCATTAATGATAATGTGTATTTGTCTCAAATTCTTAGCCCTGAGCTTGCCTCTTTAGAGTGGTGTTACCAGCAAGAGGGCAAGCATGTAATTAAGAGACACTCTAGAGGCATATGGAATGTGATTTGTATAAAACATACCTGCTGATTAGAAAAACGGTAAGAATGAAAATACCTTTATACATCATCTTAAGAGAGCGTATATCTAAACTAAATGGGCAGGCTTCATCCTCTACCTTTCTTTTTCTTTTCTTCGCGTGTTTATGTCTTTTTTGTTGTTCAGACATTTTTATCCCTCTGCGTGCTCATTCTTGTAGTTCCATTTCTATTGGCACTTCCTCCAAAATTTTTCTCTGAATTACCTTTGTTGAAAGTGACCTTTCTTCCTTGTGAACTCCTACACTTGCATCTCCTATTTCAGGGTTTGGCATACTTTTTCTTTAATAGGCTAAGAAAGTAAGTATCTTCAGCTTTGGGGGACATATGGTCTCAATAGCATCAACTTAACTCTGCTAACTGGAAGGCAAAAGTGTATCATCTTACTCATCCATAAACTCCACAGCACTCTGCATAGATAGGAGCATGTTTATAAGGAACTCAACAAATAATTCTGACACAGACATGAAATTCTCTAAGGGCAGACACTGATAACTAGTAAGAAAGGTTGATCATGAGTAACTTTGTATTCAGTGCCACCTTAGCAAGAATTGTAAAGAGGATAAACCTTTCTAGGAAGGGTGACGCGTGCTGGGTGAGGAAGGAGCATCTCTCAGGAGGGTAAACAGTAGCTGTGGGTTTGCTGAGAGATTTTGGCTGTGAGTGACGAGCCTATATCAAAAAGAAAAGTGACTTATCAATCTCAGTT